AAAATACAGATATGTTACAAAAAAAAAATTATAAATTTTTTTTCTTCTTTTTTTTCTAAAATGTTTCTACCTTACTTAATCTATTTTTTTCTAAATCTTAAAATACTGACACATTCTAGTAAAAAGTATCTGGTTTATGTACATATACCCTCTTAAAAGTTCTTCCATTCTTATTTTAAGTTCAAAGTAAGTTGGATTATTTACTTCCAATTCACTTAAATTCTTCCACCTAAATTCTTCCTCGATTGCATTTTTTAAATACTCCATACTTGCCTTTATCATGCAATACTCTTGTAATACAATACAAATGCAATAAAGTGAATGAAAAATTTATTTTCAAATCCATCTTTGTGTATTTGAAGTATGCTTCCAGGTATTTTTATTTAAAGTTAGTTAATCAAATTATCATTGTTGTTCCTTATATGTGAATAGTTTTAATCAAAATTTACTTGTTTATTGGATTTACCTTTGTTAAGCGATCTTTAGATATGTTATATATATATATACTTTACCGCACTTTGTGAGCTGTAATGTGTAGCGACTTTATTTATGTGCATAACACCAAAAAATAAGAAAAACAAATCAAAAATTTCTTGCTAGTATATCATTCATCTTGATATAAAAGTAAATATAGGTACCTCATTGTGAGACTGTGTGCTGTAATGTATATGAAGTTATACCTAAGATAATAACAAAAAAGTGGCTTGCATATTTTTATACTATGCATTCTAGTTACCTTTATAGTGCAATAAAACTATCTAGCATTTTTAGAATATTGTAGATTTCTATGTTCGTTATGGCTGCTGAAATATGATTTTTGAAATATAATAATATAATTGTATTATCTGTTACAGCTGAAAATTCATGCTCTTAGTGACCTGAATTTTTATACATCTATTTACCTGATTTTTATTTCACTGTTATTGGAATTAAAAGTAGAAAAAATGATAGAATTTCTTTTGCAGGACATGAGGCTAGTATACATTATATTTTTTCTTTTTTGGATTTTTCATCTTTTGGAAATACTTACTTAAATTCTATTATTTTTTTTTATTATTTGTGAACCAATTTTCTTATGTCTGTCTATTAAACCATCAATTGGAGCTTTGGTTTGTTGCTTTAGATTCCACCAAATTTTGAAGAGAAAAAAAAACGTTAAAATTAATTAATTTTAATAATAATTTTTTCCCTACAAATATCGAAGACAATATATATGGAGTCCAATTAAAAATGCTAAATAGTGCAATGGTTCCAGCCAAATGCCACACATAGCTTCAAGTACCTGAATATTTTAATTTCTAAATAGCAATATTTTTGTTACTAATTGTTGTAGAATCCTTTCAAATATGCATTGTCTTGGATCTTCTTAAATATTGTTCATTTATTTAATGCCTGTTTCCTTAATGAAACTGATAGTTATACTTAAATTTTTTATCAAAACTGAGACTTTTAATCATTACACTAAGTTAATTGTTTAAAGCATACATCCACGTGCAATTTATTCTCCAATTTCATGCTGAAAAATCTGTAGATAAAGATTGTTCTTTTTAAATGTTTTATTTTTGGTCTGCCACTTAGTGTCATTTATCACAATCGTGCTTTTGTTGAGCCGTGATGGCTCAGGGGATAGAGTGTTCGCCTTCCAGCTATAAGAATTCCGCATCTGGCTTGCACCGACCACGGTGTTGAAATAAAATGTCCTAAGTGGTAGATGGATCATGAGTTAGAGTACCCTTGCCGCCAAGCTAACCGTGGGGGGTTTTCGTGGTTTTCCTCTCCGGATAACGCAGATGCGAATTAGTTCCATCAAAATGTCCTCCACAAAGGCAAAATTCTTCCAATATTTGATCCAGGAGTTTCCTTGTCATCTGGGATCAAAATTACAAGGCTATGGAGTTGAACATTAGTAGTCGTAAACTCAAAAATTGGGTCGGCTGTTCAGCAACGGTTATTAAATAAAATAAAATTTTATTTTTGTTTCATCTGGGATTCTAAAAAAATATATGAATTAAAATACTCTGGAATATTCAGAATGAAAAAAAAATGGCTGAAAATTAGCATTTAAGGATTAATATTTTTTTTCCCCGATAATATGTTGGCAGATTACAGGATTGGTAATAGTGCAGTTTAACTGTAAAAATCTAATGTTACATATGTTTTTTGGCATAAATCTTGAATAAGCTCCTAAGTTTTGGTAACCAGGCAGCTTTACTTTCTAAATTCGCTTAGTTTATACATAAATTAATTTGGCATTATTAATTAAAATTTTTAAAGCATGACCAATCTTAATTTTAATCTAACGTAAATTTAAACTCTGCAACTAATTCCCACTTTTGGCAAGATTTTTTGTACAGTGTTTTTTTTTCCTTCTTTTTTATTTATACATAATTCTAATTCAGCAGCCATTATGAATACTGCATATATTCTTGGTGAACTGTTTATATATGTGTAGCCTAAGTGCTTCTTTATAACCAAAATTCATTTTTACTCTATAATTTATATTTGGGTCTTTTATTAAAGTATTTTTAATTTATTTCTTTGATTTTTACAAATCTGTATTTTGTTGTAGCGCGATGTAGTGCCATTGTATTGTTTCTTCATTTTTCGTGCTTCACTATTTTTTTTTTTTTTTAATCTATGTATATATACTGCGCACATTGTGTTATAATTGTTGTTTCTGTTACGAGTATATACCTCAATATTTTAGTTGGCGTAGTTGTTTAATACTCCATTTTTTGTTTACATTATTTAAAGTCTCTTAGACACTCATAACATAATTTGAGAATGATCTTTAATAATATCTCATTCATGTTTCTTTATTATTATTTTTTAAAAGTAATTTAAGAACAAATATTGTTTGAAAAACTTATTTCCTGATTTTTGTTTTTTGAGCATCAACGTAACGTTAGAAATATTGTTAATTTTACTCTAATGTTATGAGGTAGTAAATGAAATGGATTTATAAAATAGCAATTACCTTGTATGTTTCTCAAAATCATGTTATGATTGTCTTGGTCCGACTTTTCGTATGTTTGTTAAATCATGTTGTTATTGGCTGAGAAATGTGAAGGGAGCTGTTAGCAACCGAAATCCCAGCCAATCACTTCACAATGAACTGCTAAATAATTCTCAGCTTGAATGTCTGTGCAAACAATCTCAGGGCTTTGTGATCACGTTTTTTGCAGTGTACCTTTAAGTGTTCAACTTGTAAGGGACCATCCTTTCAAAATAAGTGAATAAAAAATAAATAAAAAAAAAATCTATATATATATATATATAAAAAAAATGAAGGAACGTCTGAAACCAAAACCGAGCCATGTGTAATGTTGGCGTTGATGAAGAAGAGATATAAATCAAACTAGGTTTTTGTAAGCAGCCTTCTAGTGCATAACGGGTATTATCCATGTTAAAATAAAAAATGTGTACAGATTTTTGTATTTCATATCAAGTAAATGATATTGCATGCCTCAGAAGTACATTATTTTCTGTGTTGAGTACTACTAATTATGAGTATTTCAGTTACATAGAATCTTGTATACTATACACTAATGTTTAATGAATTACTCGTATTTCAAATAAAGTCCACTTCAATTTTTATTCTTCCTTTTATTTATGTATTTTGACAGGGCTGATTGTGATCCGGAAAAAATCCGGATTTCCGTATTTTTCGCTAACCGTCATCCGGAAGTTTCCGGAGATCGAAGGTTCAGATGTATCAAAAAATCATTGATCACAAAAGTTTCCGGAAATCAAATTTTCAAAGGTGGAACTTATAAAAACACAGTTTATTTTATTTGTTTGTAAGGGAGAGTCAGAGAGATACTTTGTAAGCTTATATTCAAGATTAATATAAATTTTTTATCAGTAAATAGTTATTATAATCATAAACTCAAGAAAGAAAGACATATTTGTAAATTTCAATTACTTCTCCAGGTCATCATAGGTATGTGTAAAATTTTAAATATATTTTAAGAAAACTTGNTAAAGTTGCGAGGCCCCAGAAATTCTAAAGTTGCGAGGCTCTAGAAATTCTAAAGTTGCGAGTTGGAGGGCTTCAAGAAATTCTGATAAGACTGAGATCATCAAGACTCAACGTCTGACTTTAACCAGCAACGTCAAAAAAAAAAAAAAAAAAAAAAAAAAAAAAAAATTTTTGTCGAGTCATTATAATGATCACAGTGGTTTTAATCCTTAATCAAAAATAAAATTCTGACTGTATTTTTAACTTCACTAAGGAAGTCAAATATCGTTCCGTCTGGCTAACTTTCTCTGTTCATGCTTCTGTCTGGTATCGAAGGGTGCGTAGCGTTTTTTAAAAGTGCTTTTTTCATTGGGTGTATTTAAAACGTGCTTAATTTTCCCTTTTTCAAAATGAGATTTTTCCTTTGCTATGTTGATTTTTGCTTCGAATTATGCAAAAAGACACAGTTCACATTGTGCTATTCAAAGTTTTCATAGTTAATTCACCCCCAATCCATTTCGGCTTATTGTCAGTCCGTAGCATATGAAAACGCCATTCGTTTTACGTGATTCAAAATTTCATGGTTTTTGACAATTGTCAAAAACAATGCCAAAAGGATTTTTTTTTTTTTTTGACATGACGGTTAAACCAAGATAAAACCGTCGATTGTCAAAAACCTTCCAACCCTGCCTAATTATGATATTGCTTAAAAATATTTTTTGAGTGCTTGAAAGGTGCTTATTTTCTGTTGAATAAATGGGCTACGCACCCTGTATCACTTACTAGGAAGAGTCTATTTATTTACGTTTGGGGTTGCTAAGAAATATTTTGAAAAACGAAAGTTAACTTTTAAAAGTTATCATAACCAAGGACTGAAAGCATCAAAATCTGTTTTATTGCCTGAGGTTGCTTGGATGTGTTTTAAATAATCATCTTTCATTTCCTCAGTTTCTTCCCTTAATAAAATTGATTTTGATGTTTTTAATCCTATTATCCCTAAATTGCGTGTTTGTGCTGGTGGGCTAAATTAGCAACAAAATGACAAAGCAGATTTCGTTTAATTTTTATAGATTTAATGAACAAAAACCTACTGTCTTAAAAGAAATGATTGAGGCTCATTTTTCTGCACTTTTCAGCATTCTTGCTATTATTCAGTGAGTCGATTCTCTGAAAAAAAGAAGAATTGCGAATGTTAAAATATCCATAAAATGAACTATAAGCAGCTTTAGTTTATTGCAAAGTGATCTAAATTTTAACTGCAAGATTCCATCGGCGCAAACATTCATCTATCGAGATTCTACTAAGTTAACAGTCCCGCAGTGGACTGATCGTTAAGATACGGTTCCCAGCAGATCACCGAAGTCAAGCATCTGTGTGCGGGTGGGTGACCCACTTGGATCAGTCTGCGTAGGGGCCGAGGGTGTGCGGTATTGGTCCTCGTTAAACTGTTCTACCGTAAAGGGCTCGACTTCGCGTGCAGGTCGTCGGGCTACCGAAGCGGGGGTGCCATCCCCTCTGCAGAGGATCAAAATTGTGATGGCATGTCTTCGGATCATCCTCAGGGATGTTTCCCAGACCGTCGCCAATAGCCCATTGTGCTGCTCTAGTGCGACGTAAATAAACTACAACAACAGAAAGAGTTAAAAATCTAAATAATTACTTCGTAACTAAATTTTTATTTCTATAAAAATACAAAATTATTCTAAATAAATGCTTAACATGTAACTAACTATTCAGCACTACTTAAACTATTATTTAAGGCAACATTAACAAGATGAATAATAACTATAGTGTTGACAATAGAAAAATATCTAGGCTTATGGTAAAACATAAAAGAAATATATATTTAGATTCGCATTATATTTAATTATTAAGTTCAACACCCAACAGAGTTTGCTACCGAATATAGATTGATGTATGTTACAAACATAATACATATTTTAACGTAAAAACATTACCTCTTTGCAGCTTTCAAATTCACTGTGGATTTCGTTATAGCCTGTGTCACTTCAGTTAATTTCTTTTCCAATTGAGTGACATTCTTTTTAACTTTTTGAAATTTTCCTTTGCTGATTTGCAAAATTTCAGCCTGCAATCTAAATACAAAAGAATTATACACTAGAGATACAAAAGGACAGCAAATAAAAAGAAAAAAATTTCTTATTTTAAGATTTGAGCTAGGATTGCTTAAGGGATATAGTGTTTGCCTCTGAATGAGAGAACTCAGGTTCGAGTCTCGATGGCACCCATAATAGTGATCTTGACTAGTGCAGATGTAATTTTTTCACCAGTGGTNGTCTAATTTTTTAATTGATACTAAAAAAATAAAATTCCACTAAAAATCACTGTGCCAGATAAAAGTTTTCAACACAGAGCAAGAAAGTGAAATTGAGGAGAAAAGTCGCCAAGTGTGGTAACTATTCCACCATCTTTTTCTTTCGCAACCCACTCTTTCGGACAATTTTGAAGCTTTGTAGTAACTCTCTAACTAAAAGTTAGATATCAGGAACTCTAGCACGAAATACTTTCATTTCAATTTTAACTGTTTTCAAGAGAAGTTGCGATATTCTCAAAGTTCTTTCTGTGTTAAACTTTAATATTAACTTAAAATCTGTCCGGCAGCCATTAAATCACAAAAACCACCGAAACTATGAGTTCGAGGCATGTAAGCAGCAAAAATATCGAAATTATTTCCATCTCTGTCCTGAGATAAGATTGAAAACTTATAGCAATGCTCTATTACGTACTGTACTACTACTTCTCACGCACCTCTCGAGTATATATATATATATAAGGTAAGCTAGCTCTGTCGCCAATAATTAACGCTAACGGTATGCGGCACTCTAGCACCGTTTATGTTTAAAATGTCTACAGCCATTTTTGAAAGAATCAAAAATAAATCTAAATAATTATTTAGTAACTAAGTTTTTATTTCTATAAAAATGCAAAATTATTCTAAATAAATGCTTAATGAAAAGCTTACTGTCCAGTGCTACTTAAATTATTACTTAATACAGCCAACAAAATGAATCTAAACAAATACTTAATAGACAGGGAAATATCTGAGTTCATGGTACCTCATTAGAAAAATATTGAGAGAAAAATTTAAAACTGGGACATGTGAATGATTCCATTATTCACTTACCGAACACAGTGTACTCCTATTCTTTGTCTTTAAGTAAATTAATAAAGCTACATCTTTATGACCGGCTGCAAGGGCTATAGAACAGGCTGTTTCTTCATCCTGTAATGATGAGCTATTATTTTATTGGCAATATTTACCAACTGAGAGGTTTGGTGAAAAAGGAAGTTAAAACACATTATTAAGCATGAAGGACAACTTAATTGCTTACTCTACCAGGTGTGCCTGAACTCAGTTTCTCTTTATTTTAAACTAGTAATTGAGGTGGAAGAGAATTATTGATGAACAGTTTATTCCGCTTTATGGCGTCCTTTTAAGAATTTCGTTGATTTTAAGGTGACAAATTGGGCACAAAGTCACTTCTTCCAAAATAATGATTTTGTGCCACATAAAATACCTTTTTTCTTTTAATTTTTTCTAACCATTTTAAATGAAATTGTTCTTACTACATTAAAAAAAGAGTTAACTGTTAGGTTTTGTAAAATATTCAGTTCTTTATGATATAACTTAAGTGAAAGAGGGAGAAAAAAGACTTTAAAATTTGGCACAGTCACCCAGTTTTACGATAGTTTAAGAAATGATTTTAAGTACCAAGTGCATCATGAAAGCATTTACGATTTTCTTCTATGAACATGATGTCTATTTTCTTCAGTAAGCTACGTCTATTTTTTCAAACGTGCTTTTCGAACTATGTCCATTTTCTTAAACGCGTTTTTGAGCTAGGTCCATTTTTTAAAATTATGTCGATTTTTTTAGAGAATAATAAGTCCACTAATGATATTTTGAAAGCCTTATGTAATAACGCAGTACCAGCAATCAAACTATATTGAGCAATGTCATCTGAAAGATTCATTAATTATAAAATAGTGCACTAGAATATTTAGGAAAGCGAAAATATATAGGAGTCCTAATTAAAAATGCTCACACATTAAGTGTGAGGTATTAGTTTGTGATGCATTTTATATCTGAATTTAGTTTACCAAAATTACTTTTAGCACATTTATTTTTTCCTATTTTAGAAATTAAAATATTTTTATATGCGTATATAGCGTTCGGTTAATAATGAACTCTTTTTTTTTACTTTCAAATTAGGTTTAAATGTAATCATTTTAATTTTCATCTTCAATTAAGTAAAAAAAGTAATGTATAAAACAATGAGGCAAAATTATATCCTAATCGATAAAATCCCTTACATTATCTTTAATATTTGGATCACATAATGGATTGTTTAGAAGGAGCTCGGCGCATTTCTCGTGACCATATTCGGCTGCGTACATAAGTGCTGTGGACCCATCAATATCTTGGATATTAGGATTAGCTCCTGCGTCTGTTAGTAGTTTGACCATCAAATCGGATCCATAGCGAGCTGCATTCATTAATGGCGTTTGTCCATTCTGGAATATAGGAAAAGGATTAACAAGTTATAGAGCCTTTGGAACACATAAAGATCTGTACAACCTTTCGATCAAATGATCCTCATCAAATAATACCCCATAATATATTTAATTTTAAATTATTAGCTTAAATATCTTTTTTGAAGTTATAAATCTTATGCGACTTCCAACAAGGTTGCGTTAAACGTTTAGCGCTACATTTTAATTGGCCGGGAAATCACGTGGTAGGATCCAGTTTTCCCTCATTCATTTCNTCTTTTTTTTTTTTATAAAATACTCTTTTTTATTTGTTTGAAAATATTGCAACTGCAGTTTTGATTATCCTTTTGGAATGGACATAAATTTCGATTTAACCTTAAAAATTAAGTGCTTGAAACTCGAGAAAAAGATATCGCATGGTTGGGAATAATCACGTGATTGTGCTTGGCATGCTAACATTACAGCTATGACGGCTTGATTTATTATCACACTGAATCCATTTTTGGATTAGATTTAAAAGGATACTTGAAAGCGACGTCGCGCAAGATTGACTGCTGAATTGTGACATTAATAAATATCACGATTTACCAAGGCATGACGTCACTGGCTGGTATCCAGTTATTGCATTTCAAATTTTTCTAAAATTTCGGATGCTACTGTGGCAACAATCCCAGCTCTGTAATACGACTCATTAAGTAAAACAATTGCCTTAATCAATTTTTGTACAGAAAAGCATTGTTTTATTTTAAGATATTTTTGATCAGATCGTAACTATATATTGCTGCTGTATGTTTGCAACAAAAATGGCATTTCATTTTTCAATTTTGAGCCTTAAAAGAGAATGAATTTTCACACATGAAAGTTCAAAATTTCTTCGTTTTATTAATCTCAAATGAGATTTAGCTTAACCCTCAAAGCTGTTTTTAAAGGTTCCGTCGTAATACGAAATGTAACCTTTTTGCGAATTATATGCTATTTTCATTACTATTGTGAGTTTGTAACTGTTACTCATGATTGTTAGGTCAAGTTCAGCTAACCTAAAGCCAGCGCTGTCGACAGTTATTTTAAAAATCGCTCAAAACGTCAATATGGAGAAAAGCCACAGTTTTGTGAAAATGAAAAGCATTTCTGGTCTAATTTTTTAATATATTTAAAAACTTACTCCATTGCTGCATCGCTTTCGCTCATAAGAATTCGCAAAAACTTGGAATAAGGCAGTAATTTTGATAATTTTCATCTAGGTGGAAAAATGTCGCCAGATTGACGATTTTTTTTAAAAAAAAAGTTTAATAACTTTTAAATTATTTCACTTATTTGTCTGCTCTAAAACCCAAATAATTTTTCACGGCAGGATTATATAATAGTTTAAAATCATTGCATTGCTTCATGTGTAAGCACTTAAACTATGGCTTTTTTTTATTTTCCTTAGCGACAGAACATCGAAGAACAGTGTTAAAATCTTTTTTGCACATGTTGCTGAGTTTATTTTGGCCAAGAACTCCACCTCTAAAGAGAGAGAAAATGTGAAATGGCATCGCTTAATCTCTCTATTGTGGTTCAAACTTCAGATCAGTGAGTATCAGCTAGTCTGGGAAATTATGTGCATTTGTGAGAATGTTTTACTTTGCTATATTACGGTTACGGAAGTCTCGCCTTCGAAGTTCCCGACCAAGAAAAGAGACTTCAATACTTAAAAAAAAAAGACATTTAATATATATATATATA